GATTCTTACTGTTGAAATTTGTGTACCATCATATGTGAAATTTAGATTGTTAGTGTTCATATTAGTATGTGTTAGTATGATGAATGTGTTGTTGAATTGTGAATGAATAGATGAGAAAAATGGTGATGTGTAAATTATGTCATGCAATTCTCTTTTGATGATAAATTAATCATATAAAATGTTTATCCATGTTAGAACATGATTAGGTAGGTTTTAGAATGGATAGAGGATGAAAAAGGTGAGTTAAAAGTTGGATTTCTAGAAAAACTTAAGAAAACAATCCATTGGTTCCCCTGGAACAATGTATTGGTTCACCAAACTGAGCGGAAAAAAATATTTGATAGCAAGCTCAAACCAATCGATTGGTCCACTAACAACAATATATTGATTCCCCTAAAACTAATCGACTGATCCAATAGCATCAATCTATTAATTTCCCTGTTGTTTTCACCATAACTTAAGTTTCGTGACTCCGTTTGAGACGCAGTTTGAAGCATTGAAAATCTAATGCGTAGGACTACCTCATAGTATCACTCCAAGATGTTAAATATGTACATGAGGATCTGAATGTAATTATTTTCTCATGGTGTTTATATGTGAGTATTGTTGTATTATATAATTAATTGTTATTGTTGAGTTGTGAACTTTTGATTATGATTGCATACTGTGAAGGTAATTATAATTGTTTGTGTTAAGGTGTGTAGTTTAAAAGTGGAAACTACTGTGAATTCTATATTGCATGTTGTTATGGTTAGAAGTGGAACCATAATTATTGTTATTGCATTATTTGTATTCCATGTATCATATTGTATCAGTGTGTTGAAAGATGCGAGCTATGGGTTCAGAAGTGGGAACCTGTGGTCATCTGAGGTTCAGAAGTAAGAACTCACTTCAAATGAGGAACCATTGTTGAGTGGATGAGATCAGCAACAACCCTCTGATATCCAAATTGTTATCACATGCATTGAGTCGAGATTATTGGTGGCATTGCATACATAACACATTGTAATTATTTTATTGTTATGAATAAAGTGTGTGAATCATAATTGTGTTGAATATGACACCCTTGTTATGTTTTGCACCGTTAATATATTTGAGCGTATTCACACTCCTTTCTTGTTGTTTTGTGTTGCTCTGTACATTGTCGTATATATACTCAATAGGAGTAACTGCTATTGTAAGTTGGAAGATGACCTTAGAGCTTTTTTTCGTCTATTTTATCGTTTATCGCTATTTAGTTGATTTAATGCTCTGATCTGTAACATTGGGAACAAAACGTTTTATTTGTTTTGAGTTAATAATTGGATTAAGTTAATTTTATTGAGTATTTCAGTTTAATGAGATAAGTTGAAGTTTATGTTATTTATTTTGTGTTTCGCTATGAGTTTTTAAACTAATTGAAAAGTATGATTGTTTTGTTTTGAGTAGCATCCTAAAATGTGGATTTTATCCTTTCAATTATGAGTTAGGATTTTAGGATGTTACAATACTCGCTCGAGTGACTAAAAAATTGTCTCCATCATCTCCGTAGTCTCTGCCAAAGCTCTTTGCAACTCCTTTAACATGTCCGCCGCTCAATCTGAATATGATATTACCATCTTTTCATGTTCTCTTCACTAAAAGTAAAAAATTTAAAAAAAATATATAAATAAAAAATTGACCTATCGAATTTTTAAAAATAGAAATTCGAAAACAATGGTTTTACATTTAAAAACTTGATTTTTTTTGTTAACAGAGTATTTTTAGTCAAATTATCTTATAGGCGACCAAAATTTAAAAAAGAATATTATCAAAGTTGTAATTAAACTTAAAAGAGAAAAAATGAGATTAATTGTCATCGATTGTCAGTTTAAAAAGTTTTACATTGTTATTATTAAAAATTTTACACTATCAATACATCACAATCATCATTTATATTATATTTTAAATGATTAAAATAAAAGTCAAATTTTTTTTTTCACTGTCAGTGCATTTTAATTAAATTTAAGAAAAAAATTTATATGGTTGTATTTTAGAAATAAAAGAAAGAGAAAAAATTTAGTTTTTTTTTTCTTCTTTCTAATACGATAATGAAGTAATATATTTAGTTTTTTTTTTCTAGTATGAATACACTGCTAAAGCTTGATGACAATGTGTTGGATGCAGCGATCGATTTGTCCAAATGCAACATGCATTTCTAAAAAGCAAGAATACGTAGATGGAGTTGGTAAAAATTCAACTTTCTCCGTATCAGAAAATGCAGCCATAGTCGTAGCAAAGTCTAACTTTGATATTAATTGATACTGATTAATATATTTAATTACATTAATTAAAAAGTACATAATTTTATAATAATTTATATATATATTATTTATATTATATAATTTTAAAATGGTCTGATATGTTCAATAATAGGTCAAAATATTTGTCGATCAAATAAGTAGTGGTCCATACAAAATGGCAGTGTCCTGTGACATAGTATCTTTATAATTTTTGTTGTTGTTTGTTTTCCCTTTATTTCGCAAGTCACTTATTTTCTACGTTGATAAATCTTTCTACATAAAGACAGGAATTTGGTGTTACATTTGTCCACATAAACGATGATCACGTGCACCCTAGAGTGCATAGACCAAGATGATGGACCATAAATCTGTACCTTTTCTAATCTGTCATTTTAGGAGTACTACGTGTGAGTATGAAATGGTGCTAGAAACTTCGACAAAAATTTACATTGTTAGTATATTTTAATTAAATTTATTTTAAATATTTAATTGTTCTATTACATATTATTAATAAAATTATTTTAATAAATAATATTAGTTTGAAATTAACACAATTAAAATTATCTAAGAGCGTGAGGTGTTGGTAATGCTACTTCAGCTGTTTTGGAAGTTTAATAGAATATTTGAATATTAGCAGTTTATCACGACTAGATTACTAGTTTAATAAGATATTTGTAGATTAGTCTACTATCAATCTATAAAAATAGATGGCGTGCATTGCCTCATTATACCTTTCACTAAAATTATTCCACTATAATAGATAAAATGGTAATTAAGAAATATTTTAATTAATTCTCCATCATTTTCTATTTACATGCTAAGTATCAATCTTTTTTATACATTTATTTTTTTTTTCTTCATTCAAATTTTAAATTTTCTTCATATTTCTTTTTCTGACTTTCATTTTTAATTTTATTTATTTATTTACTATCACTAAAAATATTAATAATTTATTTTTTAATTTTAATAAAATAACACAATATATTTATTACACAGGTCACTGTCAATACAATATATATTTTATTTGAATCAACTATTATCTTAATTTAAGAGAGAAAATATTATTTTTTTCTTTCTTTTTTCATCTCGCGATTCCTTTTTTATATAATTATTAAATACAATTAAATTTGTATAATTATTGTTTATTTTACAATTAAATAAATCATTTTAAATGTTGTATTTGCATCTGAATACATTTATATCGCATCAAATAAATTTTTTTTATTTCACAAGTCATTATCGCATCAAATAACTTTTTTATCTCACTAGTCATTATCACATCAAAATTTTCTTTTTTGTCTTTCTTCATTTCACAATCATTTTTCTTCCTCTTTTTGCATCATTATTTAATACAATTGAAATTATATAATTATTTTTCATTTTACAATTAAATAACTAATTTCAATTTTATATATATATATATAAATATATTTTATATTATATCAAGTAAACTTTTTTTACGGATCACTATAAATGCAATATATATTTTATTTTAATCAATAATAATTTTAATTTAAAAAATGAAATCTTTATTTTTAAATATTAAATATTATATTCTTTCATCTCACGCGTTTTTTTATATATATTTTAATTTAATTAAATTTATATAATCGTTATTTATTTTAAAATTAATAACTAATTTCAAATTTAAATATATTTTATATTGTATCAAATTTACATATACATTTAAATATATTTTATACCGTATCAATCGTCCTGATTTCTTACTAATTTATCATAACAAATAGTCAAAGTTCAAATTTCCTCTTAAATACCTATAAAATGTTTATTGGTGACTTAAAGTTAATATTTAGGTCATAATAAATTAAATTGTATTTCATATAAATTTTGGAAGAGACATAATGTAATTCAAGCATCTCATAAAAGATGAAAGTTTTGAAGGTGTTCTGATTAGTATTAGACAATATATCCTAGCGTAGTGGTGCAAATTTGACGTGGAATGAAATATTAACGTCGTCTCTAGAAATATGGATCCACATGCTCGAGGTTCGTACTTTGTTCCTAAGCTTCGATAGAGAGATCTCACGTTGTTTGTTGTTTGTAAACCCTAAAAGAGATAATACTTTGTAGCCGTAATGACATATTTGAGATAGACTAAAAATTGATGCTACAAAGAAGGGTTGGACCCACATGCTTTCACCCTACCCTTAGTCCCAAAATTGAGGTCCACATAACAGTCTATGCATTCACTTTTAAAGAAAAACCAGTATATATTTTAATAAGGGAATAGGAGTATGCAACTCAGCTTGTTAGGAGTGCATAGTCCACATGTCCACCCCGTCCACATCGCGGGACCCTCAAATAATTTATGTCCGTGTGGCACCCTATTTTTGACACAAACTCAAGCTTGACTTATCTTAGTGGAAGGAAGGTAATTTAGTCTTATTTAAAAAGTATACATTAAATTAAATTACTTTGACCATAGGCCATATAATATCTCTTGAGAGCAGGTTTGGACTTGGCACTAATCTAATGGCCCGGCCTGGTATTTAATACGTCAAAAGCCAGCAAAGTAGTGAAAGTATAAACAAAATGAGACTTTTAGTCTCATGTGAAATCATTGGTCACTTTAATTCAGTACTATAATGTCAACTAAGCCTACCTACCCATTTACAAATGTCTATGTTACATCACCAAGAGTTATTTTTCCATATATCACAAGTCTTCGAAAAAGAATCTCTGTGTAACAAGGTAGTGGCAGGAATCAAACTGTTTCCATCAAAACTTTGAAGCCACCACTTTTTGGAGGGCTTGTTTGATCCTTTTTGCTGTTGCATTAGTTGATCCTGTAAACTGTAAACAAAAGGATGCATAAATTTACACATAAGGCTACAATATTTATGCAGTAATTCATCATATTAAACAACCAAGATCTCACCTTAGATTTTATGATTAGATGAAGACTCCCATCAGCTTCTGTTGATTGAACTGAATTAAAATCTATGTTGAGATTGTTAACTGCTTCCATAATTTCCAATATCCTTCCTGATCTACAAGGGCACTTCATTTCAATCACAACTCCATTGTCACTCATTTTGACACTAAGATCACTAGTAGAACTTCCTTTCAAACCATCTGAATAAATCACTCTCCTCGTCTCGTCTATGTCGCATATTTTCCTCTTTTTCACCATTGGTTTCTTGCCGTTGTTTGTTTTGTTGTTATAATAATGATCAGAAGTCCTCTCCATCATATCATGATGTGTTCTCTTATTTCTAGACTCTATATCTGATGGATCTCTTTGGCCTTGCATTTCTTTTATCCTTTTCTCAAGCTTTCTAAGGTATTCAATTGCATCGTCTAGTATAGAAACTTTGTCATCCTGCAGGAATGATGTCCTAAATTAGTTGAGCAGTGATGACTTATGTAGCACCGTCATTTCATATTGAATGTGTGTCTGGTGTTTGAGTCATGTAATTATTATCATTGTCGGTGTGTTAGTGTTAGTATCGTGTCTTTGTTTGTGTTAGTGCTTCATAGGTGATGACTTATGTAGCGCCGTCATTTCATATTGAAGGTGTGTCAGATGTCTGAGTCATGTGATTATTATCAGTGCTGGTGTGCCCATGTCAATGTCAGTATCGCGTCTGCGTATGTATCGGTGCTTCATATGTGATGATTAATGATCAAGCTAACAAATATGAGGACTAAAATATAAATAAATCATTACCTTACTATTTGAAGGGACCATTGATCTAAGGGTTAAAAACCTTTCGTTTAGTTTTGCTCTTCTCCTTCTTTCTGACAAAACGTGGTTCATACCTTCTTCAGTCTCAAGTCTTGTTCCCTCTCTATAATCATTCTCTTCTTGAGATTCAACCAAACCCTCCATGTGCATCCGTGGAACTTCAAACAAGATCTTCTTCAATAACTTTTGCGACGTTCCTTGTCTTGGCCTATGGCAATCCAATGGCCCTCCTTTGTTCCAAACACAAAAGCTTGATTCCTGATGAAAGTTTTGAAAATGCATCCCCATTGTTAAATGGTCATTGCTTTTCGAAAGAGCTGCAAGAATTCTCTGATAGTGCCAATCCTCACTTAGAGGATCCACTAAGGTCATTTTTTGGTCATTGTTGTTGCAATCTTCTCCTCTACCCTTAGGAGCAGAAGCAATAGTTTGTGATATGCAGTCACTTGAATTCATGGAGTTATGGACACAGTTGCTCAAATCATCTTCCATAACGCCCCAGCTTTCGACCATGAATGTTTCATCTCGTAGTTGATTGGTTTGTAATGCATTTGAACTACCACTAGGAGAGGTTGTTCTATTGATAATTTCATATCCAACTTCTGGAATTAATTCAACATTATAGTCATTATGATCAAATGCTGCCATACAAGCAACATCTTCGTTATTTCTCGAATTCAATGTCGCTCGAACATTAATAGGATCATCGACACTTTGAATATTCAACAAAAAAGTTTTGATCTGCTGAATGAGACTGAGATCTTCCAATACCTTCACATAAAGGGGAAAAGAATTCAGAATTCAGCAACATGATTACAAGAATTTGAGGGGGAAATAACAGAATATTAATATTAATGTTAAAAACCGAATGGAAAAACCGAAAAAACTTACCAAATCAGTTGTGCCTAGCTCAATAACCCCGTTCATAAAAGGAAAACACACCACTGTCTGAATGGATGCACTCTGAGCATGACAAAAGACAAATGTTACTAGTGTGTTTATGAAATAAAACAAAAGACTAGTTTTACACTTTTGTTATGAAGTACTGACACGGACACAGACACATACGTGTTTTTTTAGGTTCGGTGCTACAGAACACTTTGGTGTCATTTCATTTCAAAATCAGCAGAAAGAACAATCAAGGTCAAGAAACGTACCTTTGCGAGAAGAGCGCGACTAAACACTTTGCAATCAGTAGAATAAGCATTGATCAGCCAAATCGGTTGGCCATTTGCTAGAGCTCTTCCTGGTAACCTAATTAAGAACATGCGCGCATAGAGATTTGAGAACAATTAAGACTAACCACACTTTCTAAAGGGAGAAAAGATGAATGAGATTAATTTACCCTTGGCCAATGTTGAATACGAAGGACATGCAAACCAAATAATACCACTCAGTATCTGAGAGATCTTCTGGTGAAAGTGCTGCAGTAGGCCTTTTTGTTTGAGGACTTGTTTCTACAGGTTTCAGAGTCCTAAACAGCTCTCTCAATTGCTCACTCCTCTGTAACCCGATTTCGTCGGAACTAAGCTCCGCTCCTTGACTTGTTTTCCTTGTCTTAATATCTCCATTGTAATACCCTTCCCCCCAACTCAACACCCTGCAAAATCGTCAACGAAAAAGCCGATAAACAGCTTATCTCATATAAGTTCTTATCCATAAACTATTAAATAGTCTCAGAAGTGCTAACTAAAATAAATCAATAGAAACAGGCTCAAAATCGATTTCAAATACAATATTATAGTAGCAGAAAACCTAACACCAGATTTTGAAAAAAAAGCACTACTAAGAATGAAACAGTTAATATGTTATCTTACCCTGGTCGGTTAACAGATTGAGACCAGAAGATAACATAGCTCCATTGGATACTTCTAACCGCCAAAGCAAGTTGTTCCTTCATGTTTTGCAGCACCATTATGCAACACAAGCTATATAACTATGTTTACAATATCTAGATTCATTGAAAGAAAGAAGCTTGTTGTTTTCTTGAATGAAAAATGTTGAAGGTGTATTGCAGAAACAGACTCAAATAAGTGATTATTGTTAAGTAACTAGATTCTGAATCAAAAGAAAAGTATTAATCGCTGAAAAGTGTGGTGTAGATTTAAATGTTGACTCGGAAAAGATGACTCAAATCAGCAATAATTCTAGTATATTCTAAGATAAGAGGGTTGGTGTGTGTGGGTGTATATTACTATATTATATATAAAATGGAATGCGCTGTGATTTTTTTAAAGAATAGACTGCTGCTGCCTATTTCAAAATACGAATGTGACAACCACTGCCAGGACGGCAACGTGGAAAACAATGGATGAAGTTTTTTAAAAAGAAATGGATTACAAGACTACCATAATAATTGATAAATATCTTTGGTGAATAATTAATTGGTGAATTTTTTAGGTGCCATGAGTTTAAGTAGAGTATTCATATTTATAGTATAAATTTTTAATTTAATTTATTTTAAAATAAAATAAAATAAAAAAGTGATTTAAATTGAATTATACCGATAATGTATTCAACTATACTCTTTTAATCTTTTAGAGGAATCCTTCTCACCCTATTTTTTTATTCTATGTATTGATGTATTTTTTAATCTGATTAATAATGTCATGAATGCTAACACTTTCGAAGCTTTTTTTTTTTGTTAGAAAGGCTCTTAAAATCACTTATTTATTCTTTGCAGGTGACAACCTTATCTTTTGCCAAGCTCAAAAATAAGAGACAAATACTCTAAAGGAACTAATCAAGAAGTATCAAGAAAGTTAAGAGCAAAGAATAAATCTTCTCAAATTCTAAATGATGTTCTCTAACAGCACCCCAAATGACAAAAGAGAGTATTTTAGTATGACCCTTAATATATCTACCATTACCAAAATAAACAACTACCTGGGTCTGCCCACTTCTGTAGATAAATCTAAATTCAGAAGTTTCAACTTCCTTCTTCACAAACTAAGGGACATACTCAACAGTTGGAAGAGTCACCATTTGTTCTATACTGGCAGAGCTACCTTGATTAAAGTTGTGACCCAAGTCATTCCAACTTATGTGATGAGCTCGTTTATTCTTCATAAAAGCCTCTCTAATAAGATGGAAAGTCTTACAGCTAAGTAATGGTAGAGGGGACAAAATTCATTAGTAAAGTTGGGACCAACTCTGCAAAAACAAGGTAGAAGTGGTTTGGGCTTTAGGAATTTGCGTGACTTCAATGAAGTCATGTTAGCTAAGAAAATTTGGAGGCTCTATATAGACCCTCATTCCCTTGTGGAAAAAATCTTAAAAGCCAAGTATTACCTTAACCAAGATATTCTGAAAGCTAAAGTTGGGTGAAACTCTAGTTATCTATGGAGAAGTCTTGTTCACAACATCGAGATAAGGAAAGGAACTTGTTCGACCATTGGGAATGGGCAAAAAGTTAACATTTGGGAAGACAACTAGATTCCTACCCAGTGTAGGTTTAAAGTCTTAACACAAATGCCCTTGAAGACAAGGACCATTGGAGTTAGGGACGACATAGATAGGGAAAACATGTGTTGGAACTAAATCAAAGCTAACAACACTTTTCTAGCTATAGATAGATAGTGCATCAAAAATATTCCCTTAAACAACCTTAATGACGAGGAATGCCTAGGATGGTAGCCAAATAAAGATGGTTTGTACTCGGTTAAATTAGGGTACCACACAATTAGGAAGTGGATGAGTGATTAGGTAGAGGAAACCACCAACAAAGAGGAGGAGAAAAAGATTTGGAAAAAGGTATGAGGTAGCAAGGTTCCTCCTAGAAAACAATTTCTCCTATGGCATTTCTAACATGCTTCTTGTGAAAGGAAACCTAAGCAGAAGGAATATCCTCACTGACTACCTATGTCCCAAATGCAAAGACACTATAGAAACCACATATCATTATATCATGTCGTGCTGGTGGATGTAATATGTTTGGTTTATTTCTTCTCTCATGATAAATTTCAACAACATAAACAATGCGAATTTTATGGATTTGAGCAAAAACTACTTCAGCAGCATGACTAAAGAACAAATTAATATGTACATACACATAATTGATAGCATATGGAATGCTAGAAATAAAGTCATCTTCGAGGATAAGGACTTACATGTTTTGGATGTAGTCCATAATGTGAGGAGAAGCTACTCTGATCATCACAACAGCTGCACCAAATCTAAACAGAATACCCTTACTGACCCTAAGCCTAGCTGCATTAGGAACAATAGTCAAAACCATAAACATTTGGACAGGCGACCAAAGAGCAACAACAATAACCATGGTGATCAAACTTACATGGAGAATTCTAAGAGGACTGGTATTGTCCTGGACCAGAATAGGAAAAACAACAAGGCTCCACCCTACAAAAAAGAAGACATAATAAACAAAGATGAGAATGGTATTATGAACCAACATGTAAAACAAAAGGAGGATAAGAATCAGCTCGGGATCCAAAGGGACAAAATAGTAGAGAAGAATCTAGAAGTCCAGAAGGAGCAAAAAGCCAAGCAACATATCACTCACAGTCACCGTCATAAGTACAACAACCTAAAAAACAAGGAAGGCAATAACCTGAAAAGCAAAGGTAGCAATAATCAAGAGGAGAAGAAGCATAATAGTCATAGGGATAAGCACAAGCTAAACAAAAAAGGTATCACCATGCAAGAGCTCTAAAATGAGAATAGTAGGGAGCACAAAAACAACAACCTGGAAAATAAAAAACATAAGCAAAAAGCTAAAAAAACATAACGATGTGTTCGTCGTGAAAATTGGTGAACAACCGTTGGTCTTCCAAATCGAAAAAGATTTGTTTTACTCGCAGGATCGACCATACAAATCCTAGGACATGTGCTAGTTGATCTTAAAAAAAGTTTGGAAAAACAATGAACACTTCGACAGAGTTCAAGATAAAAATAATTTGTTTCAAAAATGTAAATGGAATTAAACACAAGAGATTAAAGTCGAAAGACTGGTAAAAAATGTAGAAAGTAACTTGCGCAAGGAAAAGATAAATTCTTAATGAAAAGACTTATTGAATTGCATTGAAATGTAAAAATGGTGTTGTATCAACGTACATTCTCACGATCTCGTTTCTTTACACGCGGGTACTTTGAGTATATTGAGGAATTTGTACACAATTGAACATACACACTAATCATAACACTAAGACTTACTATTTATACTAATCGAAAATAACTGCCATCAACGACTAACGAACTAGAATGAGACAAGTGGCGTTCTGCATGTCTTCGACTCTTGGAAGCGTTCCACGTGTCTTCTTTGAGAAATAGATAAGAACGAGCATTCCCTCATTTATTTGAATTTAAATCTTCTTGTCGAAAAGGTATTCTGGTTTAGAATTCCAGCTAAAGATCTTTTGATTGGAAGAGGTATTGATGTAGATCCTATTTGCGTGTTGTGCATGTCTGAAAATAAAGGAGTGATTCACTTATTCTTTGATTGCGTTGTGTCTACTAAAATCTGGGAGATGATTAGTGATTGGAGTGGTAGCATTTTAATGTTCGTAGGTTGTCTTTGGAAGTTTTTTGTGGATTGGGGCGAAGCTGGAAAGAACTCAAAAAGGACCTCTATTTGATTGGCAGTGGCTTGGTGCATATGAAAGGAAAGGAACAACATTATTTTCAAAAGCAGGACTTGTAATATCAACAATATCTTTTGAAAGATAAAGATTTTGGCTTGAAACTAGGAGTGTATCAAGGACATTCACTATTTTAACTGTAACTTTCATGAAACCTTTTTAGAGTTTAATGTTAATAGAAAATATCTTTATTTCTTATTCCCTCTTGTATTGGGTTAGAATACCTTTAGTATTCTTATTCAACCTATATGCTTTTAGGAGAGAAAAAAATGTTTACTTGATCATATAGAATACTAGTAGTATAATATTAAAAAACCTAAATTGAATAATATAGTGTTTAAAAGTTTCAAAAAGTTGAATGCATGCATTTCTTTGAAATATTTTCATTAGAGGTTGGGGCACATGTTAGCCTTAATTATTTTTCTTATAATAAACTAATATAATTATTTATGAGTCTCAAATTATAAATTATTTTAGACATTTTAAACGAATTAAAAAATATAATCAAATTTACATAAAAATAAAAAATTATGCATAATTTAATAATATTATTCTTCATTAATTATATTAAAAAGTTTTAAAAAAAGAATTGGAATGAAAGAGTAATAAATAGTAAAAAAATATTATAAAAAATTATTAATATTGTATTAAAATTATAAAATAGTTTATAATTTAGAATAATATTTTTTTCAAAGTAATTTATAATTTGAAAGGAAGGGAGTACTAATAAATAATGAAACTCAGGTCAAAATTTTTAAAGATGTAATTTCATAGTATGAAAAACTAAGACTTGAAATATATGGACACTTTTAATTTGAGTTTTTCATCACTTACTTCTGCTTAAAATAATCATATTTAAAATACGTTAAATATAAAATGTCAAATATTTTGGTTTGTATTAATATGAAAAAAGGTGACAACCTTAACCAAAAAAAAATGACAACAGATGATAAGGAATTTAACTATAAACATCTAACGCCGAAATAAATAAATTCTGAGTTGTTATTGTGGTGATCAATAAACAAGCAATAAATGCATTCAAATAATTGTAGTTATAGTTCCCTAGTATGCATGGCAATTGCTGCTTCAGTTATTTAATGCCCATATAAGATTTAGTTGAAATTATATCTCTAGTACTTTAAATTTGGTGATAGGTGTTTTAAATTTATGGGTCATGCAGTGTCCTCAGGGCACTAGTTAAGAATTTTAAATAAGAAAAATATTTTATATTTAGTTTATTCAATACATACAATATTTTTTAAAAAGTTTGATTATTTTTCTTTTTAGGGCATTGAATATATATATATATATATATATA